CATTCGTTTCAGTTTCCCGTGTCCATGAAGGGTACAAATTTTCTGTTGCCAAAACGGCTCTCGTCGTCGTTTCGGTCCATTGTCTCGTCTTGACCTGAACCTCCGCATTGGTGACCGTCAAACATCATCTCGATCCCTCGCTTGCGAGGCTCACTTCGCGCATCTTTGCATGCCGTCGAAGCCATCGCCTGGGCAGTGACTGATCTCTGTGCCGCCAGGATGTCATGCCACGCAACCAGTAACCTCTTTGAATCCTCGTCATACATGGCGGAGAACCTCTTCATGGTGACGTAGGAAACAGTTGTAATAAGGTCCAAGCCAAACATGACCATGAGGTATGCAGTAACGACCATAGCAGAGCGGTCATTTCCCGATTCGCAAACGACGAGGACCTTGCCGCGCCTGTGCGGTACGACCGCTCCACTATCGGCCTGGCTGCGATGGACCTCCAAGATATGGTCGTTGATCTTTTTGGCGGCTGTGGTATACACTCTGGTGAGAGAGTGCATGCTCTTAACGTCAACCCTGTCCATCTTGATACCGAGTGCACGGGTGGCTGCCGTGGGGCCCAACATGACGTGCGTACTGGGCTTGGTGATGTCACTCGCGTAGCCGACAGCGAGGATCATGGTGATGCCCTCACGCTCAAGGAAAGCCCGGTCGCGTGAGGCTGAGTGAGGACCGAGGTAGAGCCAGTCAACAACCGCCTGAGCTTCACGACGCGATTCGTATGTCCACTCTTCGGTGGGATCGCTAGCCTGCTGCGGAGTTCCATTGTTGGTGATGATGCTGTACTCAGCGGCTGTGATGCCGAGGGTTGCGAGGTTGCCCAGAAAGGGATCCAGTGTCATCTCTCGGAGTGACGATAAGGGTACATGTATGTACGGCGGGCTTGGGGGTCGACTTTCATATGGCGCAGCTGCCATGACCGACTTGGAGAAGCCGCCGGGCATGCCTATCATCGGTAGATCACCCATGTCGTCCGTCACGAAGGCCAGAGCCCGCAGAGACAAGGGTTGAGAATGATGCCGGATACTGGTTTCTCTCGTCCAAACAAAGGAAATATCAAGCGGGATTCTGGCTGTAAGGATAATCTCGACTGAGAAATGACCTTGAGCGCTGGAGTGTCTTGGTGGATGAAGGGTGAACAATTCATATCGCTTTGGGTGAAGTAGGAGGTTATTTTGGAGGGGGATCTTGGGAGGGGGGAAGTTGAAGTGGAGAAGGAGCCTCGGGCACTAGTGTGATGCCTGCCTGCCGTAGGGCCTCCGCATGGCTGCCTTGTGGTACCTGAGCGAGCAACAGTGGGGGACGCTGGCCGCCCCTGCTCCCTGCAGCTTTTGGGGTTAGTAGGGCGTCACCGTCCGAAGCCGAAAGCTCAGACTTACACCATCATGTCATGTCTTTGATTCATGTCGCAAATGTGTAGCACAAAATTGAACTGAGAATCCTGTCCAGACACAGCTTTGACAGCGGAACCGGTCAAGGAGATCACACTAATCTAAAGACATGGTTTGACACTGTCGCCAGTGCCATGCGATTGACTGGGACTGACAAATGTTCTGCTACTATTTCAAACCCATGATTGATCGTTCCCGCTTCTCCCTAGATCATCACATGTCCAATATTTACAAATCATCAAAAACAACCTCATCGCTCTTGTGTTCGAGAGCGGCAAAGTCGGTGAAACCCAGCTCGTACACGAGGCCGAGCGTCATCTTGGCGTGCTGCAACATGTGGTCGAACGACAGGTACTTGATCAGGTCATCGGTCGAGTGAATGTGGTTGTCCGAGTCCTCAAAGGAGCTCTCAATGACGAAGGCCGACGGGTAGCCGGCCTTGCTTGCGGACGCGTGGTCCGAGCATGCATAACCGCACTTGGTCTCGACGTAGGGAATGTCGCAGTACTAAGGAGTCCGAGTCAGCAGCCGTCATATATCAGGACCTGATGGGAGTCGGAAGCTTACCTCAACAATGACCTTCTTGATAAAGTCAGTCAGGCCAGTGTTTACGTAGTCAGTGATGATACCGACACTCTCGGGACGGCCAGCATCAATAGTCCTCTGCACGAATCCAGTCATGTCCTGCTGCAGCATGGCCTTGACGTCGCGTTCGTCCTTCTCATACTGTGAGAAGATGGCCTGGCTGCCGAGAAGGCCGCCCTCCTCGGCACTGTACCAGTGGAACTCGATCGTGTTCTCCGACTTGCCCTTGAGGACGTCTTTGACGCCGAGGAAGACGCGGAAGACCTCGAGGATGGTCATGGAGCCACTGCCATCGTCGTCGGCGCCGGGCGCAGCGAGGATACTGGGCAGGAAGAGGTTGATGGAGTCTTGGTGCGCGCCGATGACAACGGTGCTGTTGGTCTTGCCGGGGATGGTGGCGATGATGGAGCTCTGTTGCCAGGTGTGTGGGAAGTGCTGGGCGTAAATGCCATGCTTGTCGCCGCCGGCGACCTTGATGATGGAGTTGATCTCGCTGAGGAGCCACTCGGACGACTGGCGACCGTAGTCGGACTTGTAGTACCGCGTGTGGAAACTTGTGAACTTTTCTAGACGCTTCTTAATGTTGCTCTTGTCAAGGTTGTCGAGGATAGGCTTGACGTTGTCTTGCTGGGTGCATTTCTCGGGAAAGACGGCCTTCTTTGAGTCGGCATGAGCACGGGTGGTGCCGAGGTCCTGGTTGTCGGTGATGTCGAAGAAACGCTCGCCGTTCTGTTTGCGATGTCAGTCTAGAACGTGCAGGCAGTATCGGCTTCAATGGAAACGTACGCGGCGAAGCTCCCACTTCTCCTCCTCAGTGACCCATCTCGTGTTGCCAGGAGCGAGCTCGATGAGGTAGGTCTGTTGCTCGATCTCGTTGGGGTAGAGGACGACGTTGTCGGTCTCCTCCTTGAGAATGTGGCGAGCGGATGCTGCCGGCAGCATGAGCGCGAGGGCGGAGGCCTTGGAGAACTTCATGATTGTTGCGATTGTTGTGAGGGTGCAGGGGATGTGATGATGGAGAGTGGTGGAGAGGGAGGAGTCGTCGGCTCAGACGTTGCGGGCCATCAGTCATTCGTCATTGGGGGGGGAGCTCGAGGCAGCTAGTCTGCACGCGTGCCCATGTGCTCGTGCTCTGGCGTTGCTTCGTAACCGCCGAGATAGTGGGTCCCAGCTTGTGATAAGAGGCGATAAGACGGGTGTGCCTGGAAAAAGGTATGGTATTATAAGGTGGATAAGAGTTGTTGTAACTGGCTTAGTTTGTCGCCCAACGCGCCCCCAGGGCTACGTTTCATAGTGCCTGCTGACTAACTGAATCAGAGCAGTCCCTTCCTCCACCTGGCATCGATGTCATCGCAAACGTGGAGGTGCAGTCAGCATCTGCTAGGGTTGCTACAAGTCAGCACCAACCACCTTGGGGTCAGACGAAACCCGACAGCGGCTGGTGCTGGCAGCCTGGTGTGCGAACCACCAATGTGTGCTGATTTGTGTTCAACCAGGCCACGGAAACAGGTTGATCGCTTTGGGAAGACGGTCGCTTTGTTTATCACTTTGATTGTATAGCTCAAGTCGGTTCAAAGAACTGGAAAGGGCGATGCGAGCTAAGTCTGTGAAGGATGAAGTTTAACCTCGTCTTCTTCCTTCTCTTCAGGGCTGCTATCCAAGGATGAGGAATCTCGGGATTTAACCCGAGCTCATATTGGTATTGTTCTTGGAAAAATTGACGCCAGCCTACCCAAGCACTTGGATCAGGGGCAGAACCTGATCCCGGATCCGGAGAACAAGAATAAGAACACAAAGGCCTGCCCCTCATCTCCTCAATGACCTGAAAGAAAGAGAGTCTCGCGTTGCAACCAGGGAACTGAGAGGGCCTTGCTCTGTGGAGTTGCAATTCAGCATGCTGGCTCCACTCCCAGCAGGGTTCCTCACAGAGGGTGGCCTGAACTCATTGTCGAGCCTGCCATTGGACAAAGCCACGGGAAGGTGCTGGGTAGGTACAAGGGGTGGCTTGCTGAACTCTGGACGAATCAAGGTTAGCCTGATAAACTTGCTGACTACAGCAGCATCATTGGCAGATCTCGGCAACCCATCTGCATGGTTCCTGCAACCGGTCGTCAGTATTGTGGAAGTCGACCTTTTCCCCCCCCTTCACCACCCTGTCCAAGACGGCTTCGAACCTTGGCACAAGCGACCTCGCTAGGCTGGTTCGGTTTTTTTCAGTCTTGCTGCATACGTACGTACTGTACTTGCTGTTTACCTATGTGCTTTGCTAATTCTTCTTGCAATACTTTGCTTGCTTGCTTAGGTATCTATCAACGACGCAATGGCTGCCCTCTGGCTGGCACTCGCGCCACAACATCAGCTCTCAACACCATCTCCCCCCCTTAGTCCAACCATGACCACCGCCGTTCCGACCGCCGATGATGGAGTCCCTTCTCCGTTTCTTGGCCTCCCGAGGACCCCCACACGGCATCTACGTAATTGGGTCAACAACCGGTACCCCCGGAGTCCGCCCCGCAGCGAGTCATGGTCGCGCCTCGGCGGCGTCGCCGTCTGTCCCACCCCCATGTCACATTGCTGGCCAGCTGCACAAACCCGCGCTTTGTTCGGCGACAGAGTCGCATTTCTCTCATGGTTTCCCTACTCGGTCTCGTGGGGTCAGCCTGTCGTATGCTCGCCTGCCAGCCCTGTCGACGGCGCTGCTGCATGCCAGCTCTTGGGGGGGACCATCGAACCTCAACCTCATGGACGCCAGGCTCTGCGGAGAGGAGGGGCCCGCTGCTCGTATCAACAAGCGTCGACAGCAGTGATGAGGCCCCGCCGATCTTGCCTGCGCGTGGAAATCGCTCTCGATTGTTGGGTCCCATCGAGTTTTCTGAAGTTTGCTCCCACTTGCTGGGGGATTTAAAGAGCTCGCCTCCTGCCTGTTGATCCCGTTGTGAACTGCTCTTCACCCTGCCTTGCCACTCGCAGCTACCTCTTCTCTAGCTCCTTGAGACCCCTCGTCAACTCTTCAAGATGAAGTTCACCTCCAGCTCCAGCCTCCTGGCTGTCCTCGCGACTACTATCTCTTCCTCAAAGGCATCTCCCTCCAATGGCAATGGCTGGGGTTGGCCATCTCCCGGGGGTCAGCCTTGGGGCCAGCCTTGGGTCCAGTCTTGGTGGAAGCAGCCGGAGTCGCAGCCCGACAAGGGTACGGCCCTTACTCACTGGCCGAAGCAGGCCGCCGAAAGCCTGAACGCCATGATCCGTGCCAATGCTCACCAGGGCAACTACGCTGTGTTCGACATGGACAACACGTCGTACCGCTTCGACCTCGAGGAATCGCTGCTGCCGTTCCTTGAGAACCGTGGCATCATCACCCGCGAGACGCTCGATCCGTCTCTCCGCCTGATCCCGTTCAAGGATACACCTTCGCACAATGAGACGCTCTTCAGCTACTACTACCGCCTCTGCGAAGTTGACGACCTCATCTGCTACCCCTGGGTCGCCCAGGTCTTCTCAGGCTTGACGCTGCGTGCCCTCAAAGGCTACGTCGACCAGCTCATGGCCCACAACGGTACCATTCCCGCCACCTACTTCGAGGGCGACGTCGTGACACCCATTGCCATCAACCCGCCCAAGCTCTACCGTGGCCAGCAGGAGCTCTTCAACCGCCTGATGGAGAACGGCATTGACGTCTACATCGTGACGGCAGCCTCTGAGGAGCTCGTTCGCATGGTCGCCTCGGACCCCAAGTATGGCTACAACGTGCCCGCCAAGAACGTCATTGGTGTCACCATGCTTCTCGCCAACCCTGCGAACCCCTCGAGCCCGACCACGGCCCGCAAGCAGATCGAAGCCGGAACTTATGACGAGAAGGCCAACCTTGACTTCACTTTGACCCCTTATCTGTGGACACCCCTGACCTGGATGGCGGGCAAGCACGCTGCCATCCTGACGTACATCAGCCAGTGGAAGAAGCCCGTACTGGTTGGCGGCGACACGCCTACCAGCGACGGCTACATGCTCTTCCACGACGTCGACGTCTGGAAGGGCGGCGTTCGCGTGTGGGTCGATCGCAAGGCGAGCTACCGCACCCAGATTGACGGCATGATCAAGGACAACGCCGACCAGCAGAGGAAGCTTGGTCTCCCCGTCACCGCTGACCAGAACTGGATCAAGGTGAAGCCCGAGGAGATTCTGTAAACGGCGTGTCTGTGTGTGGAATGCAGAACGTGCAGTGATGCGACTTGCCCTGGTCCGACCCTGGCTGTGAGAGTGCGCTCTGCGTGTGATGCGATGAGGACGTGAAAGAAAATGGGCGAAAGTCATCCGGGAGTGGTTTGACTGGCTACGAGATGGAGATGATACCCAAAAAAGACCCGGATACAGCGCTCGACAGTGACGCACGCGGCAAGACAACAATAGGTCGCACGCCTTGATGACTACCACTACACGGCAGAGATCCACCGTAACGAGCACTGCATGGTACACATGCATGGCAGCAAAATGAAAAAAAAAAAAAAAAACCCTTACTTCTTATCATGTCGCGCTCTATCTGTTACACGTGTACGTCTGTTCGTTACATGACCAATCTGATCTTAAGATTGCAGGCGACGATCTCGCCGGACCTTGCCTGCCGAACCCGCCTGTCCTGATTGTCGACTACGCAGCATGGTAGTATCTATTGTCTGCAGGGTTATTCGTCCTTTGTCCTTCCTTTGCAATTTGAGTCGATTTGCGAATGATCACCTGACCAAGGCTTTTTTTACATACTCGTGTTGAGGCAATTGACCTGGTGGTCACTTCGGCGGTCTGCACGAGGTAGGATGTATAGGACCCATCATCAGACAGATATTGGCCAGGTATGTGTTCGGTACACGAGAATCGACATTGAATTGACACTATTTCACCTCAGTGGCTACAGCGCTTTGGCTCTGATTGTGCCTGGTCACATTGTGCTTGCAAGACTGCTGCTGAGCTGGCCTACGGCAACTGTGCCCAGCCGTGCCATGCCGCCATGACTCGCGGGCCAAGGCAGAGAGGCCTCTATTCCTGCCGCGGGCATGCCGAGTCCGACAGATCCGTCCGCCCATGGCGAAGCCTGTGTACATGTACGACGCCGTACCCCCCTTCCATTACGCGCCGTGGGCCTTCTGAACGACAAAAGCAGCGGCGGCCGTGGCGTTGGCGCCGTACGTCAAGTGCGCGACGGTGATGAAGCCGCCGCTGCAGACGGCGTCGTTCGGGTGGCAGAGGATCAGGGTCTTGCCGTCGGCGCCGGCGATGGGCGCCGGGTTGCGCGGGTCGCCAAAGGTCACGACCGAGCTGACCTTGGCCATGGTGCCGGCGGGCAGCGCAGCGGCGGTGCTGCGCACAACGAGGGCGCCCTGGGAGTACCCGGCCATGACAATCTTGGTGTCTGGGCACCGGGTCGCCGCCTGGTCGACGAAGGCCGTCCTGTCCACAGTCCGAGTTAGCCGTCTTTGACAGGTCCACTGTCTTCATCATGCACGCGCTCCGCTGCATGGTCTTTGGTCTATGGTCTTTGGTCTTTGCTTACATGCTCGGCACGCCGTCCGTGCCGTTCCTGTTGAAGCCGGCAAAGGTGGCCGGGTACGCGACGCCCTGGACGGCGAGCGTCTCGGCGCCGAGCTGGTCGCGCAGGGCGTCGAAGAAGGGGGGCCCGGCGATGAGGCCGACGGACCCGGGCTCGGTCGTGCCCCGCGCGAAGACGACGGTGACGGCGGCGCACGGGGCGTTCTGCGCGAGGTCCTCCCTCGTCGTGTCGATGCCGGCGGCGGCGGCGAGGCCCTGCTGCAGGGGCGTCAGGATCTTGGCGACGGCGTCGAGGGCGCGCTCGCCCGTCGGCAGCGAGCTGATGATGCGGAGGAACTGGTTCAGCGGGCCTGCGGGGAACTGGCCGAGGCCCGGGGCTATGTCTTGTCGCGGGGCGAGGGCGGACGAGTCGGTGAGCTTCAGCCACTCGTCGGCAGTCATGGCATTGGCGGCGGGCGAGGGCAGGCCGTGGGTCAGCGTCACGAGCTGGCTGGCTAGGACGCCGAGTGCGATGGCCACATGGCGGATACTGCGTATGGGAGAGGTATGAAACATGGCGAGGATGGCGTTCGGTCGGTCGATGGAGAGAGAAAAACGAAGTCTTGTCAGCAACTCTGCGATGAGCGGTCTACGTCGTGTGCCCATCCTTTTCGTGGTCTCCCTCCATCTTTTCTATTATACGCCTCGTATGGCAGCGAACATGCGCCGAGGTCCGTCATGCTCTCCTGCTGTCCCCAAAAGCAGGAGACCGTGTTCGGTTGCCTCTTCGGCAGTTGAGGGTCACCATGTTCAACCTTCAGTGAAGGGAAGAGGGCTGAGTTGCAGTGTTGTAGTGTCGCATCGCAAGGTATTTCCGAATCGAGCCATAATTGACTGTGAGCTAGGGTTGCTGGGAGCGAGGTCGATCGGACAATACTGCCCATGCGGGATACGGTGTTGTCTCATGAGGTGGTATCGAGGATCTACCGAGAGCTCAGACATGGGAATTCGCGGGGAAGTGACGTAGCGGGGTGCATGGTCTTTCTCTGGAGTGGATTGCCGAAGTATTCCTGGTGTAAGATCCGACCCAAGGGTCTGATCACAGGAGAGAGGATGAGGTTTTGCATGAGGTTTTGCGTTTTCTTGGGCGTCGTGTACAGATGGTTGTTGATCATTCGGGCGCCTAGCATTTACAGAGGTGGAAGGAACAACATGAGCGAGGTGGATCGGGAAGGCACTGACTTGGGGCCCAGGGCAGACCAAAGCGGATCAACAGCAGGCAAAAATGGAATTTACAGGTGCCAGTGATATTGATATGATCGTAAATAAAAAGAAAACGAGAAGAATCGTATGAACAGCCAACATCGAATTGCCTTGGTGCCGTGCGGACATGCAAAAAGTATGAACTCCCCGACACAGGATCGAACTGTGGATCTCCCGATTTGCCAAATTAACAGTCGGACGCCTTAACCAGCTGGGCCATCAGGGACTCATGCCAGGAGAAGCTATTGCATGCTACATATAGTCTGTGCGCAGCAAGGGATTAGCCTGTTCGTGTGAAGTGATTGTGGAGACGGAGCTGCCTTGACCAGCATGAACTGCCTGCGAGTCCCGACCTCTCTGTGGTACTTAAATTAGGTACTTTAGCAACTTAGGTGCCTTACATCAAGCTGAGGTAGCCGAAATTACCATCTCCAACTTTCTCAGTATTCCTTTCCCATCGACAGGTGCATTCCTCATTGCTGATCCATGTCTTTCACTCCCGTTGAGCACAGCATACTCTGATGATGGATTGACTTTCGTTTCGGAAGAGCGGCTCGCCGGGCTCCACCACGCAAGGACCCCTATGACGGAATGACGCCCAGCGTTTGCTGTGCATCTCTCTCTCTCTCCATCCCTCCTCACCTTAGCCTCGCCCACTCATGAGCGAGACCATCAGAACATGGCTCATTGTCCATCACGACATCGAGCGTCAAGTGACAGCTGTCATATACGGTCACAGTGAACGTTCTCACACAGCAGACGCACAGCAGACGACGCGCTGCAAGACGGTCATGGCTGGATAATCATGGCTAGTATGAATACTCATGCTCGTTAGGCACAGTGCTCTGGTAGCAGCCCGAGGAACGTTGGCTCCAAGACAGAGACCTGCGTCGAGGCATGCGTCGAGGCATGCGTCTCTTGGCCATGTCAGCAGGTCCCGCTACGTTGCACCGGACCACCGACGGGCCAGCGCCATGATGCCAAGAGTCCGCGATCGATGACTTCACTCAACGCCGCGCGTGGTGTCCCCCGCAGTCGGCATACCCCCATACCCAACACCGGTCTACGCTACCTACCGAACTGACTACTTGACTGACCCCAAACGCATCCCTCTTCCCCTCTTGTCCTGGTCCTCTCACCCGTCTCCTCACCCATCCACTGTCACTGCACAGGCAACATGGCCGACGCGACACACGAGGCTGAGGGCGCCGGCCCAGACGCCAAGCCCACGCGCGACCTCATCAAGCGCGGCGTCAAGCGTCCCAGCAAGCTCGGCACGCTGACCTTCATCGGCTTCCGCGCCCTCGACGTGCCCCTGCAGTACAACCTCGTCGCCGGCGCCCGCTGGGGCCCCGCCCTGCTCGCGCGCCTCGGCATCGCCTCGCGACCCCTCGCCGGCTTCGCCCTGGCCACGGGCCTCGCGCCCCTCGACAACCTGCACCTGCCGGCGCCGCACCTCATCCTCGTCACCATGTCCGCCGCCGCCGCCGCCAAGCAGATCTACTGGCTCGTGTCGCTGTCCAACGAGGAGTTCCCCGCCCTCACCGCCGCCGTGCCCGTCAGCGCCTACAACACGGTCGTCAACTCGCTCAACGCGCTCCTCTTCCTCGCCTCGACGACGAGCGTCCTCGCCGGCCGCGACACCGTCGACAGCCTGCCGCTGCCCGTCCTTGTCGGCGCCGCCCTCTTCGCCGTCGGCATGACCCTCGAGACCGTGTCCGAGCACCAGCGCAAGGTCTTCAAGGACCGCCCCGCCAACGAGGGCAAGGTCATGAAGACGGGCCTCTGGCGCCTCGCGCGCCACATCAACTACGGCGGCTACGCCCTCTGGCGCGCGGGCTACTGCATGGCGGCGTCGGGCTGGGTCGGCGGCCTCGCCATGGGCCTGCTGCAGTCGTACGATTTTGCGAGCCGCGCCGTGCCGGTGCTCGACCGGTACTGCGGCGGGCGCTACGGGGCGCAGTGGACGCAGTTCAAGAGGGAGGTGCCCTATGTGATTCTGCCGGGCCTCTACTAGGCTGTGGTGTATTTTGTCATGTGCAATCATCTACTAGGCGTGCTTGGTGTATCTTGTCATGTGGGAGCATATGTTTTTTCTTTTAGGAAAGATTTCCCTTTAAGAAAAAAAAATCATCTCCAAAAATCTATAAAGAACTACAACTAGTATAAGCGTCGCGGGGTTGGGAGGTTTGAAGGACGGCGGAGAGAGGGTAGTGGTGCGCTGCAGCTGGGGCGGGAGGATTTAGGGCGTGCGATGGGGTCCTACTGGCCGGCCGTCGGATTAAGACGAGGCACGGCGTAGGGCGAACCGATGGATTATGAGATAAGTAGGTGATGGAGGGCAGCCTGGAGACAAAAGACGTCCCTGCGGAGGAGAAAGAAGTGAG